ATTTCTTAATAAAGATTCTAGAATGTTTGCTTCTTGAAATTAGTGTATGATTACCTACCCAAAGGAGGTGATTGTATATATTGGAACCCTATATATATAGATGAAAGTCCTAATAATGTTTTATAATTAATATAAATATCAAGAGTTTATTTATTAGATTTAATGACTTTTGTCAATAAAGATTTTTGAGATAATAAGAAATTGTTCCAATGGAAGATTGGTTAATCTTTCAATAAGGATTCTGGAATGTTACATTATTTATAGATAACTATCCCAATGGGAGCTTGTGAGTTAATATGAATGGTGCTATCAAAGTAGACCATTTATTGAGATTTACATGTTTCCCAAAGGATTTTGGAATGTTATATTAGGTAAGTGTTCCAATGGGAGCATGTGAATTGTGTTGACGACCGCTTAAAAATGGGATTAAGTGTGAAAATATTAAAAGGAGAAAGGAGTCGTCACTCGTCCAAATTATAAGGTGGAACAAGTTACCTAAAACAAGTCTGTACAAAGATCGAGGTTTGAGGGTTCAGTTAGGAGTGAGAAAAGGCATATACACACCTCACAATCCTCCGCTTAAACGCGGTTGCATACTTTAAAATTGAGATTTTAATTCAACTTATTTATTATGTTTATGTTTGAGTCTAAAAAAAAAAGTGCAAACTTAAAAAAAGGATAAACCAAATCAAACATTTTTTTTCGACTGAAATAGACAAACAAGAACAATCAAGAACATGCATGCACAATGACAGGAACAAGGAGTTAAGGGACTAACTTGATTAAATTCGAAAATACGATGGACTGATTTAAAAAGATTTGAAACATGTGGACTAAATCGCTTAATCATAAAACTTGCGGATGAAATTGAGATAAAATAAAAGATAACTTTGACTTTGACCAAGACTAAAGTTAATTAAAAGTTAAACTTAATTAATCAAAATAATTAACTTAATTAAATAATTAACTTAACATTAATTAAAATTAATTAATCACATTTACTCATCTTTAAGATAATCAAATAAATTTAATTATCTCAAATTAAATTTTCATAACTATGATTAATTTATTTTAATTAAAATTAATTAACTTCA